AGGTATCTTGGGTTTTTCTAAACCTCGGCTGGCCTAGCTCGTCGAGCTTAGTACGAGTATCAGCAAATAACATTTACCTAGTATGGTCTACATAAGGACCACACTCCCACTGAGTTTATATTTCATTTATTAAATATGTTTTACACAGTCTCTCATAAGGTCTTTAAAGGCCACATAAACCCAACATCTCCCACTTAGCCTTTGGAGGCTTTACAATCTCTCTTCATCACTTTTTCTCATTCCCATCTCCCTTATATGTTTTGTAAAAACATTTGGAACTAGTCCTTTGCTGAGTGGATCAGCTATCATCACCTCGGTAGGTATGTAGTTGATGTCAATCTCTCCGCACTGCACCTCATTGCACAAATGATAGAAGAAGAGCTTTATATGCTTGGAATTTTTATGGAATTTGGGCTCCTTAGATAAGCATATAGTGGCCGTATTGTCGCAGTAGAGTCTCACAGCCCCACATTGTATTGGCTTGCAATTAAGTTGATTAAGATATTTCCTAATCCATACAACTTCTTTGGCTGCCAAGCAACTTGCCACATATTCTGATTTCATAGTAGACAATGATACTACATCCTGTTTCTTTGACTTCAAAGAAACACTTCCTCTTCCAAGCATGAACACATATCCAGATGTTGATTTTGCATCATCTGGATCGCCTTGATAGCTTTCATCGGACTATCCTTCAAGAGCGATTTTCGATCCTCCCCCATATGTAAGTGCGTAGTTCACAGTCCCTTTCAAGTATCTCAAAATTCTCTTAACTGCTTTCCATTATTCCACTCCTGGATTGCATTGGAACCAGCTAACCATGCTCATGACGAAGACAAGTCAGGTCTTGTCCCTATCATTGCATACATAAGGGATCCCACTGCACTTCTATATGGTACTCTCTCCATGATTTTCATTTCCTCTACGTCGTCGTCACTAAGGCACATTTTATTACTAAGCTTTGTTTCTTGTCAATCGGGGTTGTCATGGGCTTACATTTATCCATGTCAAACCTTTTCAATACTATCTTGCAATATATAATTTGGAAAAGTTCAATGGTTCTCTTCGCTATGTTTCTTACAATCCTTATGCCCAACACATATGAAGTTTCCTCAAGATCCTTCATATCAAAGTGTTGTGCAAAGAATTTCTTAGTTTTCAACACGAGGTTTATTGAGCTACTAATTATCAGCATATCATCCACATATAGATAGATGAATATGACATCACTCCCACTGACCTTTTTAAAGATACAAAAGTCTTCTTGGTTAGGGATAAATCCTGCCAAAGACAGAGTTCCTTAGAATTTAAGGTACCACTGGTACGATGTTTGTTTTAAGCCATAAAAGGATTTATTAAGTTTGCATACTAGGTTCTATTTTCTCTTTTTTTCAAATCCCTCAAGTTGTTTCATATAAATTTCTTCTTCTAAATCCTCATTCAGTAAAGTTGTCTTTACATTCATTTTGATGGAATTCAAAGTCAAAATGGCTGTTATGCTATAAGTATTCTAATGGATTGAAACTTGACAACTGGTGAAAAGGTCCCTTCATAGACTATTCCTTCTTTTTGGTTAAATCACTTGGCTATTAGTCTAGCCTTGTATTTTTCTAGCTTCCCTTTTGAGTTAAGTTTTTTCTTAAAAATCCACTTGCATTCTATGGCTCTTTGGTCCCGAGGTAGAGGTACTAATTCCCAAACATGATTTTGGTTAATATAAGAGTATTCATCTTTCATGGTTTCTACTCAATAGTTCTTTTAAGAACAGGTTATGGCTTCTTGGCAAGTCTTAGGCTCATTATCTAGTTTATCCCCAATCCTATCATAGTTTTCTCCTAGGTAGGTAAAATGTTCAAGGTACTGAGGTGGTCTTGTAACTCGGTTACTTTTTTTTGGTTAAGAAAGTTCAGATTCTATTTGAGGTTGGAGTTGATGTTCAGGTTGGGTTCTCGATTATCAACCTTGTCACTAGCCATCTTATAGAGATCGACTTTCTTGTGACTAATTCTTGCTTCAAGGAATTCATCCTCAAAGAAATAGGCATCTCAACTTCAATGACGGCCTCATTTTCTAGGTTGTAAAATCGATACACTTTACCATGGTCAGGGTAGCCAATGAAGATGGTCTTGACAGTTTTGGGATCTAGTTTTGTCCGATTTGGTATGGAATCATGACATGGGCTGAGCAACCCCAACCAGTGAATATTTCATGAGGAGTAAGAGGGGTAACTTTGGTGGGGAGTCCAGTTCAGAATGTAACCGACTGTTAATACTGCTTCCCCAAAAAAATATAGGGAAAATTTTGTATGCCCCATCATACTTCTCACCATTTCTACCAAGGTCTTATTCCGTCTCTGGACAACTCCATTTTGTTCCGATGTATAGGGCATAATAAATTGATGAATAATAACATGCTCTACACACAAGTATTTAAAGAGTTCGGAAGAATACTCTCCGCCTCTATCGGTTCTTAGGACTTTGATTTTCAAATTTATTTGGTTTTCTACCTCGGCTTCGTAAATCTTGAATTTTTCTTAAGCCTCGAATTTAGTGTACATAAGGTATATGTGGTCATATCGCTAGTGGTCATCAATAAAAGTGATAAATGACCTTTTACGGCTTTTGGTAGCCACATTCTTAGGACCACATATGTTGCTACGAATGACTTCCAATGCATTAGTAGCGCTTTGTGCCCCGATGGAGCTTTTCCTTGTACACATGATTCACATACTTTTGACAAATCTCCTTTATAGTTTTGAAGGATCCCATCTTTTCTGAGTCTTTCCATTCTATTAAATCCTATGTGCCATAGATGCATATGGCATAAATACGCCAAACCATTCGAAAATGAGACGTAAGCAACTACTTCTTTTATATTAATTGAGTAAAGACCGTCCACAAGTCGTCCAATCATTACAACTTCATAATGATTTTTCACTATAACCTTTTCTTCAACAAAGGTAGTGATAAATCCATCCTTAGACATCTTGGGAATCGAAATCAAGAACTTCCTTATTTCGGGAGCATAAAGTGCTTGTTTTAGGATCAACATCTTTTCATTCTTCAATTCAAAAGAGTAGTCCCCAGTACCCAACACTTCGGTCTTTTGATTTCCTCCCATGAAGATATGTTGTTCGTTCGGCCCTACGGGAGTGAAAATGCGGAACCCTTCCTTGGTGTTTGTGACATGAGCCATAGCTCATGAGTTAAGACACCAGGATGCACCCTTAGGGTCGGCCAACAAGGTTTCGAAGACCACACAAGTAAGTTCCTTGTTGGTTCCTAGATTCTTGTTGAACCTACAATTCCTTGCTATGTGGCCCACCTTCTTACAAACAAAACAAGTTCTAGTATCTCTTTTCTAGTTATATTTGTTCTCCTTAGATCATTGCTTTTTCTTGAAAACGTTCTTATCCTTTCCCTTATAAGGCTTAAAGAAGGGTTTAAATTTTTTCATATATACTGTCTCCTTCGATGCTGGGGTATGACGTGCATTCCTTCTCTCTTCTTCGCCTTTGAGCACTGTGATTAGCTCCTCCAGCTTGGGAGCTTTTGATCGCACCGCAACAGAAGTGATGAAAGTATCCCATGAATTGGGAAGTGAGTTCATGAGATGAACCACTTGCATGGGCTCTTTGGGTTGCATTCCAATGACTTGTACTTCTCGAATAAGTGCAAGAAAAGTGTGCACGTGATATGATATTTTCGTGCTCTCACTCATCTTGAGTTCATTGTACTTTTTCATGGCTAAGGATTGTTTTATAAGTGATGGATCAACATGCTCCCTTTCAAGTCTCTCGTGCATCTCTTTTGCCGTTCTCATGGACTCATATTTCGATGCATATGAGTCGACCATCGTGCAAAGCAAGATATTCCTTGTTCGCCTATTTTTACGCTTCCAAGTAGCATATTTATCGTTAGTATCTTGGGATGAATCGTTACTTGGACTATGAGGACGACTTTCAATCAAGATCTCATCCAACTCCTCCTTAGAAAGCACATATCCGATGTTGCGCTTCCAAGAGGAGTAGTTGGACCCATCAAACCTCTCGGTTTTTAGGATCTCGAAGATAAAAGTTTGTGCGGCCATTTGTCTATTTTTCCCAAAAGCAATATAGGACTCAATAAAAAAAAGAAAATAAATTAAATCCTAGATGTAGCAAGAAACTTCGCCCTGATACCAATGAAAAGACTTTATGATAAAGCACGGTGTATATATTTTAAAAATTTCTTTATTCCTACATCGGCAAGATCATTTACAATGTCTAATTACAATTAAACCACTCTTAAAAAAATAATAATAATAAAATCGGTTCTCAATTGCTATATCTTCAAATACAATTCTTTTATTCAACAAACAAAACTAAACTTTTATTGCTTTATGGGAAAAGAATATCAAAATGTAAATATATATTTTAAAAGGAAAAACTGCCGGAGATTATCTCAACCGGGCTTGGTACACCCAATGTCGAGTCTCCTCCTTTCGATAGTACTCGGGATCTGTGATCGGTATGTTGATTTTTATAATATGGCAAAAATCCACTCAATGGCTTAATCTTGATCATGCCTCTTAGCTTGATTTTAGAGGGATGAGAGATAAATATCAAGAGAGAGGGAGAGATCTACTAGCAATGGGTTCACCCTTTTGTCACCCACAAATAAAAACACCACCTAGGCTTAGGCGCACCACACAAAGAGAATTCCCCAAAGAGAAAGAGACACCCAATACAACTTGGAGAGACAAACAAAAAATTGGGGCGTGCCTCGCTTTGGTAATCTTTCCAGAGATAGCTAGATTTTGAGGTAGGGAGAGAGAATACATATGTAATTTTCTGAAGGAGGGACCTCCTTTTATAGATTTTTTATGCTATAGATTTTGCTTCAATTCGTAGGGTCAAATCTCAACTGTCCATCTAGAGAGATTTGTGGGGTGAGAGATTTGAGTCATCTATCTCCTTGATCCACCATCAAGATTCAAAGAAATGAGCTAAAACCTTATCCTCCATTTTCTAAATCTATTCCCATCAAATAAGAAAAATTTATATTTTAATATATCCAATCCTTAATTATTTGAGCAATCAATCTTGATTCAAACAATTAGTAAATATCTCAAATATTCAACCTTATTTCATAAGTTGACTATACATAAAAAGATAAGCCAACCAAGAGAATAAACATTCTTCCCAAGAATGTTACATGAATGGGTGGGGGCGTGCCAACCTTTTGGTGGCCACGTGTGGGCGCTACGTAATCCACATCCTTTAAATTTTGGGCCCCATATTTTATAAAGGTCCCCAATATTTTTTTAAAAAAAATATTTTATTTCATATTTAGAATTTTTTTAAATCTTATATTTTATTTAAAACATTGAAAAATTAATTTTTCTTAATTTATAAATTCAAATGACAAAAATAAAATATCAGAAGATTCATAAAAATTCAAATAAACATTTTTTAAAAAATCATATAATATAAAATTAATTAATTTTGATGGGAATCAAATCCGTTAGATCTAGGAAATTATCGATACATGGGAGCACTACACCTTCAACTGCGAATCACAATCCGCCTAGCTTTTTCAAATTGACCCAACAGTTCCCATAACCCACAGGCCACTGTAGGGGTTCATGATTGAACCACTAAAGTCAACCAATAGACTAGGCGATGCAATCTCAGTTTATGGATTTCAGATTCTCCCCTAGAGACAAAAATCATGGCCCTCCAGACCATGATGCAACCATGACTCTATGTTGTATAGGGGTAATCTCACGCTTCACCCTCATTGACGAATCTCAAATGGCTATCTATGTACACGTCATGTGATGATATAATGATGATGTTTTAGTTATGTCTCTAAAGGCTATTTATCACACGCAAGGGCCACATAGTCCCTTGGCTCTCATCTGGGCATACGCTGACCGCATCAAGGGAGAACCCATTAAACATCTCTTAGTAGATCCCTATGCCAAGGTATCTTGAGTTTTTTCAAACTTCGGTTGGCCTAGCTCGTCGAGCCTAGTCCAAGTATCAGCAAATAACATTTGCCTAGTATGATTCACAAAATGACCACACTCCCACTGAGTTTATATTTCATTTATTAAATATATTTTACACAATCTCTCATAAGGCCTTTAAAGGCCACATAAACCCAACATCTTTGTCTCTCTAAAAACTCATTCTCTCGTTCTCTCTCTAAAAATTGATTCTCTCTAGAAACCCAATCTCTCTTTCTCTTTTTAAAAACTCATTCTCGCTTTTTCTCTAAAAACTCATTCTCTTTCTAAAAATCCATTTATATTTCTCTCTCTAAAAACCTATTTTCTCTCTAAAAAACTAATGTCTCTCTAAAAACTCATTATCTCTCTAGAAATTCAATCTCTCTTTCTCTCTCTAAAAACCTATTCTCTAACAATGCATTCTCCTACTCTAGAAATCCAATCTATATTTCTCTCTCTAAAAGATACTCTATAGAAACCTAATCTCTCTCTAAAAACCAATTTTCTCTCTCTAAAAACCCATCTCTCTAAACTCAATATTTTTTTCTCTCTCTAAAACACATTATCTCTCTAGAAACCCAATATCTCTTTCTCTTTCTAAAAATAATTTCTCTCTTTAAAAAATTAATCTCTCTTCCTCTCTCTAAAAATTATTATATCTCTAGAAACCCAATCTCGCTTTCTCTCTCTCTCTACTAAAAAACCATCCTCTCGCTATAGAAAACAAATCTCTATTTCTCTCTCTAAAAACCCACCCTCTCTAGAAACTCAATCTCTCTTTCTCTATCTTAAATCCCATTATCTTGTTCTCTCTCTAAAAATTCATTATCTCTTTAAAAATCCAATCTTTTTCTCAAGAAATCCAATCTCTATTTCTCTCTCTAACAATCCACTCTCTCTAACAATCCACTCTCTCTAGAAACCAATCTCTCTAAAAACCCATTCTCTCTGGAAACCAATCTCTCTAAAAACTCATTCTCTCCTTAGAAACCCAGTCTCTCTTGCTCTCTCTAAAACCCATTCTCTTTCTCTAGAAACCCAAACTCTTTTTCTCTCTCTAAAAACCCATTCTCTCTCTAAAAATCCAATCTCTATTTCTCTATCTAAAAATTCTCTCTCTAGATACCCAATCTATCTTTCTCTCTCTAGAAATCCAAGCTTTTTTCTCTTTCTAAAATTCCAAGCTCTTGTTCTCTCTATAAATCAATCTCTTTCTCTTTCTAAAAACCTACTCCCTTTCTCTCCCAAGAAATATTTGTCTCTCTCTCTAAAAACCCAATCTTTCATTCTCTCTCTAAAAACCCTATTCTTTTCGGATTTGGTTGGGATAATACATATTCGGGGGCGGGGTGGGATTTTAGGTACACTTTTCGAGGTAGGCCTTATCGGGGCAGGCCAAAGTCTTTTCAGGCTTTGCCAAGCCTCGGGTCAGCCCGGCCTGAAGGCAGCCCTACTTATCCCCCACCCCCAATTATTTTGAAAGAAATTGGAATCATACCTATGATTCCAAATTCTTAAAATTTTGACACTTTTTATGGAAAATAATTTCATACTTAAAAAGATTTCTTACTCTTGTGACAAACAAAATGTGAGAAATTAGTTATTTTCTAAGAAAATGATTTCTAAGAAATCATTTTCATACAAACCAAACGTGCCCTTAAAGTTAATCAGTTTCAAATTTTATTGATGTGATGAAGTTTAAGAATGACGGTTCAAAAGTCACATACACAGTAACGAAGTGTATTGAAAATACACCTGATCGCCCCCCTCTTTGAAATTGTAATATGATATTTTTTCATATAGAAAATAAGTAGTTTGATCTCTCTCTCACATGTCATAGAACTTAATTAGATTGAAAAAAATTAAGGATTAGATTTTTGAATTGTTCTAATTTTTTATTATAAACTTGAACATATTAATAAAATAGTAGTATATTTTTCAAATTTGTAATAAGATTTTTTTACCTGTAAAAAATAAGTGGTTTGATCTATCTTTTACAGGCCGTGAAACTCAATTAGATTGAAAAAAAATAAGGATTCAGATTCTTAAATAGTTCTAATTTTTTATTATAAACTTGAACATAGTAATAAAATAATACTTATTATTAATATTAATATGATTTTGTTTTTTTATTTGATTTCCTATAAGTTATTTATTTATGTTATTGTCTCTTCTAGCTTTCTCTTACTATTTTCCAGTTGTATTATGCTTCTGTTATGAAATAATATTTTAATTCTTATAAATTAATTTTTATTTTATAAGTTATTTTTTAAGTATAAAGTAAAGCCCATGGATCTTAAATGCTAATGAAAAAGAGGAACTTTTTCCTTCTTGATTCTTATATTAGATCATATCAGTTTTGTTTCTATCTCAATTTCACCTTTTATGATTTTAAATATTTTAACCAGCGTTTTAAAAAATGCCGAGTCGAACCGGACTCGCCTTGTTCGACTCGGAATTCACGAAAAGGGACCGGATCAGTTGAAAAATCAGAAATCG